AGCCGTTGGGCGGGGAAATAAGCACCGCGGCTGTATATCCGGAAGCAAAGCTCACAGCTTCGAAAAACTCTGCAGAAGCCACCATCGCTGTGGAGGAGTTTGAGAGGGAGTATTTGGACTATAATCAACAAAAAACGTAAGTTTAATTCCATTATTTTGAAATTTATGATACATAGCTTTGCCACCCAAACCAATTTAATTTTGGGAAATTACATGCATGCACACCTTTATTTTGCATTTGCATATGTTACATTTATAACACCTTATCATTTTAAAAGGGGCTGTTACATAATACCACTCAATTTTTATGTTGTTAGATATCTAGCACCTAAACTTTGCTTTTTTACATTTGAACTGCCAAAATTTGGGAAATTTACATGTGCGGCGCACAATTCTCATGTATTTATAGTGTCACAACTAAACCTTCATATTTACCTGCATGGCACTACTGTCTTTTAAGCCTATGCATGAAATGTGTATTTCACTTTTAGGACATGGTAATATGAAAGTTTATGTGAGACATAAATGCATAAGTATTGTGTGCTACGTGTTTAAATGCCCATTAAAATTTAAATATCACATAAAAATATCACTATGTTAATTTTATAAAAGTGAAGTATACCTTTTTTTTGGCAGTGATAAGGTGTAATGTTTGTAAAAATTGAAGTTCAGGTGTTAAATATTTAAATACATAAAAATTGAGTGGTATGTATGTAAATCTTCTTTTTAAAAGGGTAGTGATAATGATATTCTTAATGTGATCTTTACATATGTAAATATGAAAGTATAGTTGTTAGATATGTAAATATATCAGAATTATGTCGTATGCATGTAAATGCCTCTTTTTTTTATCAGTTTAATAATTAATTATTTCTCAAAATCTGAGATCAGTATATAAAAAGTAGAAAAAAATATTACATCAAGATCCTTGATGTATTCAGAGTCTAATGGTGGGGCACCACGTGTCAAGTAGCGCTCCACCACTTGACACGTGACACCATATCATTGGGCTCCGAATGCAAACTGCGTTAGGAGTTCTGATGTAATATTCTCTCATAAAGTAAAGCTTAAATCTTTGGTGTAAAATTCAGAGTGTTTCCTGACGAAGCATGTGATGATCTTGGAGGAGAATTCTGTGATCCTGAGTACCAAACTGGAGTCGGCAAGAAGGCCTCAGCTTAATTAATCATATATTTTTCTTAAAATCTTTTTTTTTTAACTCTATTATTAGGAGTCTTATATCCATCATATGTTAGTGAGATATTTTGTTGCTTTTTTTGTTCATATGATTATACATCTTGGTTTGTAAACATATAATTTAAATTAAGGTTTTGGATTTAGTTAATGAATTTATTTCCATTCAATTTTAAGTAATTCAACAATCTATCTATCATATCTTCATAGTTTAGACTTTGCATTTAATTTGTATTAATCATGTCATAGTTTGCACTTATTCTACATTAGTTATAAATACTTGTTATGATGCCTTTTTTTTTCAACAAGGTTAAAGCATTTGGCAAACAATTATCTAAGTCAGCCTCACAAGTCATGATGGATATAACTTCATACACATGCACATTTATTATTAAAACTATAAGGCATAAGCTCTTATTGGACATAATATTATAATGTTATATATTTAAAATAAAAGAAATATAATAATTATATAAATTAAATAAATATGAAATAATTTATATAATTATAAATAAATTTTAATTTCTTATAAAATAATTATATGTTAAATTTGTTAAATATTTAAATTAAATTGAAGAAGAGTTAGTCCTAGCATAGATTAGTAGTTTGGTGTTAAGAAAATTAATTCTTTTGTAGGAAATAATTATTAAAAAGACTATCCAAAAATGGAGAATAATAAGAGAACTAAAACTATTATTAAGTCGCTACCAAGTTATCTAAATAATAGATTTTAAAGTAAAATAGAACGATGACTTAAGTTATTTATATAATAATTTGAAATAAAAAATTTACTAATTTGAATATATGTGTCATACATGTGTCTGGCAATCTTTTTTTTTTTTTTTTTTTTTTTTTTTATTTGACATGTAGATAGAGTTGAATAGATGTTAGGTACATGTGTGCACAAGTTTATTATGTGTTTGACATGAGACACTTCATTGTTATAAAATATTGGTGTATCATATCTTAACTTGAGTATGCAATAGAATAATCTTTTGCATGTACCTATGGAAGTTATTTTAAAGTTTAACTTTAATTAAGGTTATTATGTTACATCCTCTATTGGACCAAAAGCAAATATACTTGAATTGTCTAAATGGCATTTGGAAATCTCACTTTACTTCTCAAGAGCTCAACATTCGAAATGCCAACTATGAACTTAACCTATTGAGAACATGGGATCTTTTAATTGCAAGCAAGTTTATTTACCATCTTCATTCAACCCAAACTTCCCTCTTAGTGTGTTCCCTAACTCAACTATTATGCTTTCGCTTTATGAATTTTGTTTATTTTTCTAAAGAATGTTATTTGGTGCGAGCAGCAAGCTTTCACTAATATATGTCATCCATTGTTGTTGCTACCAAAGTGACGAGATTTCACCAATATAAGAACTTATTATGTAACAATGTAACTTTCAACTAAGAGAGCCATATAACATAAGGAGTATGGCTTCATGTTATTAAGTGAGCAAAAAAGAGTTAGAACAATATGTCATTTAGACTTACAAATAGAGAAAATTTATGAAATAACGAAACCATGTCCAAATATTTATAAGAATAAAAAATATTAAAATTGTAGGAAATAATGAAAAGAAACGTTAAAGACATTATGTGAAGTGGAAAACTACGTGGTGCTGACGAAAAGGAAGGTTTTGTGGTAGCTATGGTTTGTGCTAAAAGGAAACGAATGAAAAGCCTTTGAATATGGTGTTTCATGATTTTGTGATTGAATTAATTCTATTACAAGTCCTCCACAAAAAAAATCATAGTTCGATAATATTTTCATTACTCGCCAATTATTTTGATGATTAAACAATCTATATAAAGCAATCCTTGTGTTATAACATCATAACTCGATAAACGTAGCATGGTTGAGACTGAAAAAAAAGTGGATCACTTTGTTTACAAATAAAAATGAATAAAATTTGGTCATAAATATTTGGTGTAAAAGAAATCTTTTTTTTTTTTAAGAATTATAAATTTCTAATGGTTCATTTTTAAAGATATAATGATATTTTTTAGGATCAACAATGAGAATCTTTTATTAATATTATTGATGTAACAATATTTGTCCTTTTGGTCCCTTTGCCCATAAAATAATTCTTTATTCATCACCTCAATTTTAGAATGAGTTTTCCATCCATCTTTTCAAGATGGATTTTATCAGATCTATAACACTATATGGGTCCTCAAACTTTATTTCAAAAAATATTTCACTTTTTAGAATACAGTCTTTATAGCCTCAAGAAATGTTATTGCATAATAAATCTTTATTTAAATCAAAATTTTAAATATATTAGGTATTTTTGTTAAATTATCCATTTTAGTAATTTTAAATAGTTTAGATAAGAATAATTTTGATTTTAAAATTTATATTATCATGAAACTAGGGACAAATCTATTAGGGGCCTAAGAGGGCATGGACCCCCAATGTTCATGTGTTGATTTTAATTCTTTTATTTCTATTTTTTATCTTATCAAATGATTAAAAAAATGTGAAAACAATGGAGTAAGGTTTTTATAGTCCTTTATTGAATTAATTATAAAGTAACAAAATAGTTGATTAATCAATCTTCCATTTATTTTAGGATTTGCACCACAATTTATTTAGGATGAATAGACATATTTATTAAAAAAATATATGTACCATGAAAATTTGATGTTGAGTTTGGGTTTATTTGAACAACGATATATTTTTCATATTTTACAAATCTTTTTTTTTATGGAAAATAAAACTTGATTATAGTTCTCTAAACTATATTTTGAAAGAACAAATTTCAAATTAAATAAATTTAGTTTTTCTTATGTAAAATATACATTTTGATGAGTTTTTTTTATATTTAAAAAATGTTGATAAAATTTTTGAAAAGGGTGATTTGTGCCTCTGTTCTTAAATATTTCTGGCTCTGTCATTTGAAGAAATCATATTTTCATAAATAGGAAAATTTTTAAACATATATGAAGGGTGACCTAGCAACTCCAATGGGAGATGCCAATATTAAATAAGGTAAAAATAAATAAATATTTTATATAATAGATAAAATAAAATGCTTTCAAAGTTAATGAGAGAAAAAAATGACTTGGTACTCACTGATAATCACCAAAGCAGAATCGGGCAACAAACCTCAAAAGAGTATTGCCTTCCTCCCACACATGCAGATATCCCACCAAAAGCACTGTAGCACGGGCGAGCTTCCCGCCAAAGAAATGCTATAAAAAAGGGAACCATGACAAAAATAGAGGATATAAGAGAAAGGTGAGAAAAAAAGAGAAAGGGATGTAATCCAGTTATTGGGAGAAAAGCGAAGAGGTTAATATCAGAATTATCTTTTCCTTCATGGTATTAGAGCGTAAAACTTCACAACAATTGCTCAATGGATTCCCTATACTCCTCCACGATTAGAACAAGCTCGAATACGACAGTATCCCTCAATCACATGAAGGAAATCTGCATACCTACGTCACTCAAGTTCTTAATGTAAGCATCAAGAGATTAGAAAATTTATCTCTCCAATATGACAATTATAAGGTATGGAAAACACAAACACTGAAACTCTTTGAATAAAATGGATTCGAAGAATTCAATCAGATACTTCTCCCACTCCACCACAATTTATAAGAGATGAGTCAGGATGTTCATCAGAAAACCAAGATTTTAAACTCTGGCACCTCGTCGATCAATATCTCACGACAACAATGCTGTGAACTATATCCACATCAATTCTATCATACATACTCTGTCTCAACAACGTGACTGAGACTTGGGCCACCCTCGAATGAAGATTTCAATTAGCATATAGATCCAGGGTGATCCAGCTTAAAAATGAACTTCACTACATCATAATGGGGAGCAACACCGTGTCTCAGTACTAGGCTAACATCAAACTATCATTTATCGTATTACAACAGCAGGAGTTAAGAACAATACAAAGGACATCATTCTCTACATGCTCAACAGATTACCACCCCAATACCAAGGTTTTAAAACCACCATACACACACAGCTCAATCCAATCAAACTCGAGGAATTCTACTTCAAAACGAAGAATCCAACCTAGCCACTGTACAACTTAAACAACAACCTACTACAGTTTTATATATCGAGAAAACCAAAACCAGCTCAACATATCCACCCAAAACCAATTACAAAACATGCAACAATCACACTAAATTTCCAAAAACGCACTAACTGAACGACAACAAACCACCCATTACCTACTATGTATGCCTCAAATTAGGACACTCAGCCTTCCAATGTTGGCATTAGACTAACCTCCAATACAAGCCCACCACATACCAAAACCAAACGACCTTCTCAAAAGCCAAAAACTACCAATAGAACTGAATCCTAGACACTGGTGACACTTCACATCTCACACCAAACATAGAAAATTTACACTCCCCACATCCATATCAAGGCACATATCAAGTTATTGTAAAATTTGGACAGGTCACCAACATATCCCATACAAAATTAAGCATCCCCCCTCCCTCACACGTAAGCTCAATCTCTCATCAATACTTAATGTTCCACATCTCTCTCACAATCTCCTATATGTTCAAAAACTAGCTCAAGACAATAACAAAATTCTCTCCCTTGATGCTAAATAACATTGCATATAGGACCGGAAAACCTTGAAAACCATCCTCACGAGACCTGTTAAGCAAGGTCTCTATAGAATACAAGCACTTCACACATTCACCACCTCCATCAATTGTCATCAAAGACTCAGTCATCCCTATCATCACACACTATCAAATATCTCTAGACAATCTCCCCAACCATGCATGTCCAACCACTAATCATAATACTCGGAATGCCATCAGAGCAAGAGTCATATACTAGTATTTCTTATTGGTAATACTATATATAAATGCTTAGAACTAATCTACTCTGATGTATGGGGACCCTTTTCCCTTCCCACAATTAATGGATATAGATATTATGTCTCCTTCATAGATGCTTACTCTCACTTATGTTGGATATTACTCATGTACAACAAATTTGAAACCACCACACACTTTATCAGCCATCATAACTACATTTTAAATCAGTTTAGTACAAAAATAAAAAAAGAACTTTGAACAAATATTGACAAAAAATACACCTATCTGCAATTGCAACAATACCTCCAGCTTCATGGAATAAAAC